TGCTGCGGGCCCGGCGCTCCCTCCCGCCCTGCCCCCGCAGCTGCCCCCCGGGCTGGGCGGGCTCCGCCGCTCGCCGGGCCGGCCGCTGTCCTGTGGCCGGAGCGCGGATGCCGCCGCGCGTTTGGCCGCCCGCGCCCGGTACCCTGCGCTCCTCAGAGCCCCGCAGCGCGTTTCATCATGTGCGCGTAATTCTGCACTGCTCCAGGTATCCGGGACAATGAGCCTTTTCCTCGGGTTCTCTGTGCCTGCGCGAGACCTGCCCAACATTCCGAGTAGCCCCTATTCCTTGGCACTCTTTACACCCGTAAGTGCAGGCAGTTCTGTTCCCACCTTTGCGCCCATAAAAATGTGCCAGATGGTCACCGCAGATGCATCGCTAGACAAGCATAGAACCTCTACCTGAACAGCACGTGTACAGACTTCAACGACCGTCTCTTTTTTGTTTACAAACGTTAATTAATATGTAATTAAGCATAATTAACGTGTGACGGCACATCCATTCTCTTTCCATACTTTTCTGCCAAAACGTAAGAACTGTTTGTGATTTATTCTACTTTACTTTCTATTCTCTCATGAATTCTCAGTTAACTTCAGGTTGTAGCTATTTCTGTAGTTTCACTGAATGTTATAATTTCTGCTTCCTCCGACCCACTGTCCAGGATATACTTGTGTGTCTTCTTCACTCACATTTGAATCTAGGTTATAGACCACACTACAGTATATGGATCGTATAAAATAAAATAATTGTTTAGTCTTCAGGAAGAGTCCTAGCAATGTTTAGAATACATGCCTAGTTATCCTCACTTTGCCAGTTTAGTAATGTCGGTAAAAAGATGAGAGCAGATAGGATGACCTGTTTTGGAAGCATTCCCTACATGTACTGCCCTAAAGAGATTGTGAAACTGGATCCATAAATACTGTAGTATGCCTGGTAGATACTTCAGAAGGAAAAATAACAGTGTATCATTTTCTTTTCAAATATGTGTAGGATATTATCCACACAAGCCATAGGAGGTCTGTATCCTAGTGCCTGAATTAATAAGTAATTAATCTCTCCTTAGTGATGACAGTAGAGACCTGTAATCAGGATCCCAAAGAGTAGTTAGGA